ATTCAAAGTTTCCAACTAGAAAAGTTCACGTGGCTATTTTAGATGAGGGAGTGTTGGAGAGTGCTGGAGAAAGGCGAGTGCAGCTAGCATTCCTCTAGCTTTAATGATCCCCACGCCCCCACACCCCGAACCAGTGACCACAACTTTTAGCCTTAGTTGCAATTGAAATTGAATTATTTTAATATAATATTTTGTTAATAATAAAATTGAAAAACTATTAACTAAAATCTAAGCCAAATCCAAAACACCTCTGATTATGACTTTAGTATGCTTCCAATTTGTTTTTAGTCGCGGATATTTTTGCTTACCCCAATAATTATATCTTTGTTCTTTCTTTGGATATTTGGGTTAAAACTTTTTTTGTCTACTATTACATGTTATCTGCCATGCTAGAAATTTTCATGTGGCTGCTGTTAATTATTTTTTAGTTTATAAAACTGAGTTAAACAAAAAATTGATAAAGTATAATTATTGTTATGAGATTTAAGTAGAGTTAAATTTTTATCTTAATTTTATATAATATAATATGAATATATATAGAGTCTAAAATTAAAGGTGAGTTATTTGATAAGATATTTAAAAGATTATTATAATATATTATATCTCTTTTCTCATTTAAAAAACATTAGTTTTATAAATAATAGAGTTATGAAATTATATGACATGAAGGTTGTCATTATACAAAAATTAAATAGGGGAGAAAACTTAAATTTCAAGTAGAATTATATTTGTTTTACATATTTAACATTGAATGGAATTATAATATTCTTCAATAATCTTTGGTAACATTATAAAAATTAAGATATGTAATTTATTTAATTTGTTATATATTAGTATTTTTAATTTTTATTATGTTTCATTTTTTCAATTTTAATACAGTGATTAATACACATTCTGGTTTAATACATTGTATGATATATTTATTAAAAAATTATTATTTTTAACTTAAAATTAAAGATAAATAAATTTTATGATATAATTATGTGATTTAATTTATTGTATTAATATTATATTTTTAATGACTAAATAAAAAATAAGTAAAAAAAAATGTCGAACCCTTCTGTAACAATCATCTTCCTAAATTTTATCATGTTGAACTTAAAATCTGCCACCAATGTAAAGGTTGAGGTTTCTGATGTTGAGGTTTCATCAGAAACCTCAGTCCCATAGCCATCATTGCTGGACTGCGTATCCTCGCCGGAGTTGACGTCATTGCTAGGCGGCGTATCCTCGCCGGAGGTTACGTCATTGCTGGACTGCGTATATATCCTAGCCCACTAGCCCGAGGTTCCATCATTGTTGGACTGCGTATCCTTGCCGGAGTTCCTGATCCACTCAATCAACCCCATAGAAGAAGACTCCGATGAAGAAAACAACTCCGACCAACCCGATGCCGATAGTAATTTCACGAAATTTTAATGGCTCTGTTCCAATAGTCGAAATTTATTGAATTCCGTTGAATCTAACTCAAAATTCTTGAAATTTCCATAGAGTGTTTAGGCATGTTCCTTCTCTCGCCACTCTCACCATCAGCAGGTTAAACGCCGGTCAAGAATCCAAAGACGGTGACAGTCGGCATTTTCGAATGCACATTTACTCTGTTTCTCTGTTTATACAGACTACTGCGAGTGCGAGATGCATCTTCGTATCAGGGATGTATCCAGAAAAGTCTCACTTTTGAAATGCGAGGCAGCCGGAAGTTCACCGGCGGTGTTTAGCCGTACAAGTAATTCCTTAAATTTCCATTTTATTTAATTATTATGATTATGATTTTATCGATTAACTTTTATTAGAGGTGGCGTCGTTTTGAAGGCTTTTTGTTTTTTTGTAGACAATGGAAAAAAGGTGATGGGCCTGATGGCACTCATAATAGCTGATGCAAAGTTGGCTTCCATACACGTTGCATGGGTTGGGTCCATCGAGAGTTTCTTCGTCATTATGGGCCTCGGCCCAGGAGTTCCTTCTTTTCCTTCTTCGGTAAATTTTCTTTTGATCTGCAATCTGCAATATTTTTTTTTGGGGGGCATAATCATGGGGATATTTTTTATGTTAAAGAAAGTAACACTATTATTATTATTATTTTTTGGGTATGTAAAAGGAGGTATAGAGGTTAGCCGGGAGGAGGAGGAGGCTAGTATATGCATTTGGGATATTCAATCTTGCTCTTCTGTGCAAATGCAGGTCCACAACAAATGGGCATAACCCCTGTAACCCTATGCATTAACTCTTCAATATACATTTTGTTGTATTTTAATTGATAAACTTTATATTATTATTGTGGTGGACTTAAAATAAATAGAATTTCATCATGTAAGGAGTCACCTCTATTCTGTTTCCTTATCATCATTATTGCCATTCAAGCATAAATATGATCCATTTAAACCTAT